TTTATCTGTTTAATCCAATAAAATCCTTGGGTTTTATTTATTTCATTATTTTCATTTTCCTTTTGGGAAGATGCTGCAGGTGTTTGTGACAGCTTCCCACCCCCCCCAGCACACAAGACTGCTGTGGAACCACACAGCTGTGTTGGGTTGAAACCCCAAGAGCGCTCTCTTCTTAAACAGAGTATTCTCTTGCAAGCAGTGGCTCAAATTGTCATGCAGGCAGGTCTGGATGGATATCTGTCTGCCTAGCTTTTGTATTGTGCAGTAGATATAAGAGTGAATGTCTAAAAGAGCAGGAATGAGAGTTGCCTTGTAGGCCTCGTGGCAGCTGTGCAGAGCAAGTCAGAGAGCAGAGGTATGACACTACAGGTGTCATCTCTTCTCCTCCTGATGCTTTGGAAAGGATTAGAACTGCCACACAAGGCACTGAAGAGCTGCTTCTCCCCTGCGCGGTGGAAATGGAGAAAAGCTAACACCAAGTGTTTCTGTCTTCTGTGGTGGTTGTGTCTGCTCAGCTCACTGTGCCTGCTTCCTTGCAGCTCTTGGTGTTGGTTAGGGAGTCCCTGTATAAAAAGAGCAGCATTTTCCAGAATAAGCCTGAAGCATTTCGTAGGAAAAAATGGTGCAGAGAGGTGCTGGTGTCTGAATCCTGAGTTGACAGGGCTGCTTGCTGCTGGAGTTTGGCCTGAGCGATTGCACTTTGGCTTAACTTGGTGTCTCTTTCCCTGTGTATGTATAAGTTGTCTAGATTAGGTTTCCTTCCTCTCCATTTGGTGCACAGTGCCCAGGAATCTACTGGAGTTCATTCTGGCATTCCCCATAGGTCCTTTAGTGAATCCACTCTGAACAAATTTCCCATGTCAGTTTTGAATACAAGTATTTGCTGCTTGTGCACAGCATGTTGGTTAATTTTAACATTCTCTTTTAAGTCAGATTTTTAAAAAATTGTAATAACCACTTTATTGAGGAGATCAAAGTATTCCCAGCACTGCATACTTTTGCAAAACACATCTCCTTCAAGTATTTTGTTTTAGTACAGAGAAATTGGCCCTTGTGTTGCTTTCAATTTGTGCTTCCTAATGGAGAGAAGCCAGTTACCCCATTAAACTCAGTGGGGCCCGAAGAGCAGGCTGCAGGTTTAAAAGGGAAACCTGAGTGCAGCATTCCTGGTGAATCAGTCATGCACCAGCACTGCAGCAAGCTGCTGTGAAAGCATTCCTTCTTCATCAAAATCCCCTCTCTGTGGAAGCCCTTCGCCCCTGCGCTTTGTGCTCTGCTGCCCAGCCTCCAAGTCTCTTGCAGTTACTGGTAAGTACATGCTGATGGATGGACCCCTGAAAATCCATCCTGTGCTTGCTCACAACTTGTTTTTTCCTGAACTTCAGCAGGGGCTGCACTCACCCTTTGCTTGGTGTCCCCACACTCATTCACGTTTTGACAGTCATCCAGTGCCTCGGTGGCTGTTGATGCTTATCGGCTTTGGTGTTCGGAAGCACTGAGGAATGATTCAAACTGGCTTGTGTCCAGCGTGGGCATTCTTTCCCTTAAGCTAAAGGACTCCAAGAGCAATAGAAATGGTTTACAGCATTTATATTTGTTGCTATTTGTTAAGGTCCCTACCTTAAATCTGTATATTTCACCTTGCTGTATTTATCAATGGACTGATGGATTGCCATTTGCAAAGGAGAGTTGTTTTTTTTCATTTGATACCAAAGTTCATTAGCTACACTGAGTTTAAGATTATAGTAATTAGACCACTAATAGGCTAAGTATAATCTGTGTGCTGCTGTTGTCAGAATAGCACCAGCCATTTAAGTATAATCAGAGTTGAATGGGTTTTCTAAATACTGAGTGTTCTTGCTTATGTAAGCATCAACTTTGTTTATACAGAACTCTTCCTCCAGGCAGTTGTTCATTCCCTGCCCTGTTTGCAGCTGCACTTCTGAAGCAGAAGTGGGTGCCCCAGACCATGGAAATGAGCAATTCCTCCTTTGCTGCTCAGTCTGGTGTTTCACTGTCACTGCTGCATATGTCAAAAACCTCCAAGCCATCAGATGTTCACCCTCAAAACTGTGACCTGGTAATAAGGCTTTTCCTCTCTTAGTTTACATCTGTAATTCTTTCTTATAGAAATATATATATACATATATGTACACTAATTAGTAATCTGCCAAGTACATACTCTATTATTTTAAGCTTCTTCAAGGATTCATCATTATTCTTAGTCACCCTCAGATGCGAGTTTGCACGTCTCTGGTTTGTTACTTTCTGCTCCAGACCCAGTGATATAAGATGCTGAATGCCCTTTGGTCTTCATGAGTGAGATGAGCTTGCTGCAGCCTGCTGAGAAAGCTACAGGACATCAGCCTCTGTAAGACAGGCTTCACTGCACCCAGGGCATGTGGGTGGGATATTCTCCTCACAATGCAAACAAAGAGGCACTGGCTGTTGATGTGACTTGCCCAGAATCACACAAAGAGCACTGAGGCTGCATCTCAAGTACTGTGCTTTGGGACCCTCACTACAAGAAAGCCCTGGAGCATGTTCAGAGAAAGGCAGCAAAGCTGTGAGGAGCAACTGAGAGAACTGGGATTGTTCAGTTTGAAGAAGAGGAGGCTAAGGGGAGACCTTATCTCTCTCTACAATGACCTGAAAGGAGGTTGTGATGAGGTGGGGGTTAGCCTCTGTTCCCAGGTGACTGCAACAGGACATGAGGAAATGACCTCAAGTTGTACCAGGGGTGGTTCAGGTTGGATATTAGGAGAAATTTCTTCTCCAAAAGAGTGGTTGGGCAGTGGCACAGGCTGCCCAGGGAGGTGGTAGAATCACTGTCTCTGGAAGTGTTCAAGAACTGTGTGGATGTGGCACTGAGGGATGTGGTCAGTGGGCATGGTGGGGAAGAGTTGATGACTGAACTAGATGATATTGGAGGTCTTTTCCAATCTTAATGATTCTATGAGTCTATGTTTGGCAGCATATCACAGGCTGATGGCTGGGACAGAAGAGCTACTCTGCCTTGGCTCCCTGCTGGATCAAGGGTAAAGGGAAAGACTAATAGCTGTGCCTCAAGTGGCGAGCCTCGCTTCATCTGTTTTAATACGTTTCTATTATGCTGTGCTTTTTTTATTTTATTCATCATCCTTAAACCAATGTGACAAACAATTGCACAAATTTCAGATATACCACTGATGTGCTAATAGAAGTCATGGAGAGCCATCTATCCTTCAAAGGTGGACCTTGGTACCCTCCCTCTTCCTTGTTCTTGAACTGTTTCATCAGTTCAGGTGGGAGCAGCTCAGTCTGAGGGACTTAGGCTGGAGAGGCAAACATAAAGATGAAATCCACAGAGCGAGAAGAAATTCTTCTTCAATGTCACTTGGTATATACGTTTGCTCTCCAACAGAAACCTTCCAAAACTGCCTGCTTGGGAAAAGGGGGTGAGCTAAAGCAGAACTGCACCTGATAAGAACCATTACTCCACAGCCCCTAGAGAATGGGAAGCGGCCGTGTGAGATAGAGCGTGGTGAATGCCAGCATTTCCTTGTGTCCCAGGAGCGCAGTCAGCCATGTAGTTCACCATGTACTGGTGACTTTTTGCTGTAAAGCTGTTTGTGGTGGATTAGCAAGGAGATTGTGCTGTTCTCTGCTGCTTCCAAGGATATTTCCGATTTGCAATTCTCTTACAGAGAAATAACGGAGGAGAAGACAGAGGGCTAATTCAGTAAAATTAATCCATTTGATCAAAATTATGGCTTTCAAGAAAAAAAAAAAAAAAAAAAAGATTAAAACACCTGTACTCTTTCAGTTTCTCCAAGGAGCAGCCTTTGGTGGGCTATTTAACACAAACGCTTCAGAAGAAGCAGAAGCTGAAGCACTGAAATCCGGCCCAGACAGCACCCTATGTTGCCTGCACTGTCCTAACAGGTGAAATGGGTCTGAATGCTTGGTCTGACAAAAGCAAGGTTTTAAACGGTGTGAGAGACACAGAAATGCTGACAGCTAGTGGTCAGTTCTCACTGCTAGCTCCTCAACACTGAGAACTTTTCCTGGACTGGGTAGAAATGTAACTTTGCAAATAGGTTTTGGGAGGTGATAACCATGTCCAATGTCATTTAACTAATTCTCCCAGTAAGGCAGAGTGTTGCAATCCTGTCTATTCCTTGGGATATACCCAGAGAATGTGAGTACTGAGAACTGGGTATCGGGTAGAAATGGAGGTCTCTTTGGTATGTGCTGATAAACTCAGTGCACTATACTCAGCTCATGCTCACTGCAGATGCAGAGGCTGAGGTTTCCTAGCCCAGCCTCCACATCACCCCATCAGCCATTTGGCCTCTACCCCAAGCAGGTTTTGCTCAGAAAGGCTAGGCCACTTGGTGCTGGTCTCAGAGCTCACCACGTCAGCTCCTCTGACTGCAGGATGGGATGGAGAATGGGCACACATCCCCTGCGGCCAGCTCTGCCGTGCTGGCAGCCACTTCAAAGATGGAGAGCTGGAAGAAAGATGGCATGCTGTGTCCTGGTCAGGGTGCAGTGAGGGCTGGCTGCTCCTTGCAGCACACTTGGGTGGCATCTGTGCAGCTTTATAAGGTTGTAAATAGCCTTCCCTTTCCCTCAAGGAAACTCCTTGCCAGCATTTGTGTTGGAGTCTCTGTCATCAGTTACACTTGAACACTTTTCACATTAAATACTTCAATGAGTTCAAAGACCAAAACTAATAAATGTAATAACTGTATCACACTATATCACTAATAGTGAAGTGTCAACAGTCAGGCTGGTACCTTTCAGAACAGCAGACTTCGAGCTCAAGTAAATGCTTTTTTACTGCAGCCATCTTCTTGCCAAGTCTTGATATTAAATCTGCAGAGCCCATGTAGGGAAACTGTTAGGTCAGGGCTTGAGCTGGTGATTGAGCACCTGGTGAAGGGGAATCCCTAAACCAGGGAAGCAAAGGCAGATTGTTAGCACCTGTGCTCTCCATGTGCCCAGAAAGGGTGGACCCATGGTGGAGGCATGCTGGGCTCATATAAGGGCAGCCACTGGAGGGGGAGTGTTTCTTAGTCCTAGGTTGCTTCTTGAGGAGTGCTGTATGACCAGAGAGTGCTTTCGCCAGTGGGGTGAGTTTGACTTTTTTTTTTTTCTGTGTATAACTATTGGCTTTGTTGCTAGTACTTTGCCTGGTATCACCAAGAACCAGCCAGACATGCTTTTGCTTCTTCGTGAGAACAGCTCAACAGTGTGATTTAACCAACTCTCAGTTCTCTATGACAACTGGAATCAAAGTGATTGTTGTGTAGCTTCCCTGCTGCCCATTTCTGATTCCAAGTCCTACCATCAGCATATTTCATCGTGCTTCTCACTGTCAGTATTCTCTGCAAGTAGATAAGGCAGTGAATTCAGGGAGAAGGTCTAGTAGGAAGGACTTGAATTTTAATATAACTCAGATTTATAAACTGAATGCTAGTCCTGAGTATTGATTTTAATTGATGGTTTCTATTATCTTTTTCTTCTTTTCACTGTAACACCTGCAAATGATGTGTTTGTTGTTTGTCCATAGGACTCCCCTGTGAATAGAAGGAATAGTATTATCAGTACTACAAACCTTGGGAAATGAATGTGAAGCCTGAACTGACAGCAACTTAGCCAAGCTCCAGGCAGGATATTCTGCAGCACGGTTAGAAATTGAAGCCTGACTCTTATCCAAGTGCAAGAGTGATTTTCTGCAGAGCAATCACTTTGGCTGTCTCAAAATCAGGATAGCTGCTCAATCACGTTCCAAGCAGCGCAGTGCTTAGCATGCTGAAGGAGGGCTGACAGCCCAGGCCTCACTGCATCTGCAGTTCTGGAATGGGAACATGGATGTTGAGTGATGGGAGGGGGTTGAACTGGCTCCTAAAGGAGCAAATCTTACAAAGATTTTGAGGAATGTGTGAGGCATTACTTGGCAGAGCTGTGTGAGCGTTTATATAATCTTCAGTGCAAAGTCAGTCTTATTTGCTTGGGGTAAGCCCCCTGTCCTTGAATGGAAGAACCATTTCCACTTCACTTTTCACTTGTGCAGTTCAGCATCCAGTAAAGGGGCACTAATTTCTGAACACTATGCCCACATGCACAGATGTATTTTTTTTTTATGTGTAACTAGCTCATTTCATCCACTTGTGTCACTTATAGCTCTCTTAATAGCTTACAAGCATAATGTGGCTCTTTCAAGGATCCGTAACATCCTTGAACGTTGTTTCATCCAAATACTCGCACTCTTTCATTTAAATTGAGTAATAAAATAACTTGGCTTCACTGAACCACACGGAAGGGATACCGTACAAATGTTTTGTTATCAGTTGCCAGCAGCTCTTTTAGCAGTTCTTGTAATGTGTTAATTTGGGAGACTTCAGACCTTGTTATTTTTTTCCCTTGCAGTGCTACAACAGAGTGATATTTTAAAGAGCTTCTACAAGCTAGAGCCTTCAGTTATCTTCAGATTGTCAGCTGCAGGCAGGGAAGAGTGAATGAAACCTTGTCTATGCCACTGATCACCAAGAAGATCCAGAATAAGGCTCTTCAAAATGCAGCAGTAGTAAGAAAATCTATTTCTCCCTACTTTCCAACTTGGCCTGTTGAGTTTCTTCAGCTGTCATGCCTGTGATTTGTAAGCATAAGCTTGTATGCAGTGCAGTAATTTTTGTTTGTTTCATGTCGTACTATAGGGCTGCACCAAAAGGCTTTTGACCTTTTGGCCTTGGGCACTTTTTCTCCAGCAGAAATTGCTGTGACAGATTTCAGGAGTTGTGTTAAAATATAAAAGAATAGGAATGTTGTTCATCTTTACCTTTTCGTCATTCCTCTCATGTTCTTCACTTAAGTAAATCCACACATTGCTCTGTTTTGTTTTCAGTTCCTATTTGCCCTCATGCTAAGAGTGCTGGTTTCCATTAATGAGTCCAGCAATTGATGACACTCGATGATATCTCAGCATCCAGAAATCCTGAAAGCATGCTGACTATACAAAACACTGCTGTAAGAACTGACTGTGAGGTGGCTATTTTTTTTCCCTTTTAAAAGGATGCGGCTATTTGGTGTTCCCAGCATGCATGTCTTGTCACTGTGGGCCAAAGGGAAGTTAAGTGTGGATTTTGATGGCTGACAAGAGAGTTTCTTCTTTTTTTGACCCCTCATCTGACTAGATAATATTCTTGCAGCTATTACAGTAAGGCCAAGAAAGGGGGAAGAAATTATGGAAGGATGCATTCAGAGAATGAATGACAAGAATGGAAAAAGAAACTTAAAGGGCCAGATTCTGAGGCAGAATGAGTAGCAGTCAACAGGGCAAATGGCAAGGACTCAGAAATGCTGTGGATGTGCAGAGCTTGTAGTGAACAGATTTTCAGTGCCACCTGGAGTAATCTTTAAATTAGCAGATGGAAAACACGAGGGGTAGGAAGCTTATTTATCAGGAATTAAGTGTAAGAACACATCCTTCTCTCAAAAGGCCTTTGGGTTCCTTTCAGGGATTCCCAAAAGATCTAGCAGTGTCCTGTGTTTTGTCTACAGTGTTCTAAATACAGCCTTCAGTCATACCAGTCCTGTTTGCCAGCACTGAACTAGCTTCACGCCCTGTAAATCCTTTGAGTACCTCATGTTTAAGTCTATGTATTCAGATTCTTTGAATATTCATTTTCTTGGCCTGAAAATATAGAAGTCTAATGCTTGTTAATTTAAAGTGTGCTTACGTTTTTATTCCCATTCAAGCCTGCTGCATAGTAAAACATTTCTACCTTACATATTTTTCATCTCTGGAGCAGCATAAACTACCTTGGACTCAAAAGTGTGTGTATCATTTCAGCAACTGCTATCGGTAGTAAACTGTCCTGATAAAGGTGATATTTCAGTTGATTCCTGCACAGAAAAGCTGTAGCTCTTCCAGATGTATACTGGTCTGTTACTGTGTTAAAGCATGCTGTGTATGTACATACATATGCAAGAATACACCATTTTCACAAAGGTAGTACTTTAAGATTTATTTTTTTTTCTTTCCAGTTGGACTAACTTCTCTTTAATTCTTTCTTCTCCTGTACTGGTTCATTTCACTGAGACTCATTCACTTCACTCAAGCCATTAGTCATTTTGTTACGCATTCCCTCTGGCTACGCTTGCTAGAACACCATGCAGATTGCATCTTATCTGAAGTGTTGCATAAATTGGTTTCCAGCAGAAGGAACTCAACTTGCTAAGTGCGGACAGCATGGTTAAGTGAACTTGCAACTTACACTGTTTCCCTGTACTTTAGGAGGACTGTAAATATGCTCAACAATTGCTAACTTACAAGAGTATGGTCATGATACGAGATGGGTGACATCCTAACTAATGGAGATGGTCTTGAATAGCCTAACTAGATTACTTCTAAATGTAAGACTATTAGGGTTGGAACAAAATGTACAGGGAAGAGCATGTGACATGGCTTTTAGGCATAGTAACAAGTAACTGCTTGAATGAATTTCTGAGTTCAGCAATTTGAAAGAAGGCAAAGGCCCAAGTTTGTTTAAGTTGGTTACTGAGCACCCACATAAAGCAGCCTCAGAAAAAAAATCAGCTTGATCCTTTCATGTTTCTAGGTTGACCTCAGCTGGAATAACATGTATGGTCTGCTCATCTCTGTTCAAGAAAGACTAAGAAATAAGGAGAACCTCTCTGAGAAGCAGTGGCTTGCTTACATTTCATGCACTTAAAAAGGCAATGATATCCTCTTTCTGGAATTGGTCAGGCTACATCAGAGAAAAAACAGCAATAATTTAGGTTTAGCCCTACTAGCTGGAAATCAAAACACAATGATTAGTATTAATATCCTGAACATAGTTTCAGTAAGAAATAAGGGTAGAAAGATGCAACTAGTTTAATAGTAGAAGCTGACTGTTCTGTGTAAGGAGATACAGGAAATTCTTGCCCATGGTAGCATGCACTGGATTGCTCAAACATAATCCTAGAATCAGAATGGTTTGAATTGGACCCTTAAGATCATCTAGTTCCAACCCCCCTGCTGTAGGCAGGGACACCTTCCTCTAGACCAAGTTGCTCACAGCCCTATTCAGGGATGGGGCATCCACAACCTCACTGTGCAACCAGTTCCAGTGTCTCACCACACTCACAGTAAAGAATTTCTTCCTAATATCTACTCTAAATCTACCTTCTTCTACTTTAAAGCCAATTTCCCCTGTCCTGTCACTCCATGCCATTACACCAAGTCCCTCCCTAGCTCTCCTGTAGCCCCTTCGCTTTCCAACTCTTATTTACTGCAAGCATATTAAAATTAAACATGGATTCCAAAAGATTTTTTTTAAAAAACAAAGTTTTATTAAGCAAATTATTTTAAGGACCTCTATGAAAGAATCTTCTGTTGTACATAAAGGCTCTTTTTTTCGGTCCTAAATAAAGCACGTAAGCAAATACAACTCAGAAATAATAGCTGAATAGTAACTGAAACAGCCACAGTCAAATGAAATAACCAGTAGAAAAGTATCTCACAAACAACACTTGCATACTAAATGCGTTATTTAGAGAGGAATAAATAATCCAAATTCATTGTTTGATATGCAGAAGCCAGGAATTCTACTCTGCTTCATAGCAGATAGAAAAAACAGCAGTAAATTCCATGCCTACATATTTGTTCTCACAACTTAGTAATGAAGGAAACATTGGTCTATTTTTCAATACTAAACCATATGCCTTTAGAATTATATTTAAAAAACCCTGTAAATTTAAGTACAAAGGAAGCAAAGTAGCTTAAGTAGATTTCCATATTAATAGAAGATGTTTAATAGCATTAAACAGCCATCTCCATCTTAATAGGTGGATGAGGGTTATAATCTTCAATCTGAAAGTCTTCTGCCTTAAAGTCACTGATGTCTTCAACCTTACGAAGGATTTTGAGTTTAGGTAAAGGTCTGGGCTCCCTTTGAAGCTAAAATAAAAGCATGTCCTAGGTTAATTGCACAGAAGTAATAAATACTTAAGAGACAGGGACTTTGTGTTATAAATTAGATCTCGTTAATCTAAATTCAGATTTCCCCACGTAGATTCTCCTTCTTTCCCAAGAAAGCATTAAAAAAAAATTATTACAATATGATTTGACATAATCTAGTATTTTGATTGGGTGCAGCAGCATCCAACTGCACTGTGAGCAGTCTGAGTTTGCAGAGCTATTCTAGTGGATGCAAATTAGATTCCTTCCAGACAAAACTAAATTGGAAATTCTGATGAAGATGTGCATCAAATGTGCTGCAATTTCTCACAGGAACATTAGGGCCCAATCCAATAGGTACTTCCCGAGGTGGTTTTGAGCTCTATGAATGGTGAGGATACTCAATCCAACTAAAATTCTTATTTTCCTCTCCTGCACTAAATTATTTCCTGAAGAAAATACAGCCTTATCCAAGGAAACTGATTAACTAATTTGAATTGATGAAATTATCGTTTCCTGATATACCTCAAAAGACATTTTATTGTGTTTATCCTCTTGGGCAGAATGATTTTCTAAAATTATGTAATGACAAAGTCAAAAATAGGGGTATGGACTCAAGATCTTTAACTTAGTTCTAGAATAGTCCATTTCGATCTGGAGTCGTATACAGATGTTCATTTCAGTCATGTTTGTTACAAACAAGAATAAATACAAATTCTACATAGGTTAAAGACCAGTTCAGGAAATGCAATTTTTAGGGCAGAAATGTGGAAGAAAAAAAAAAAGCCATGCAAATTAGCATCTGGAAAACAGTATGTACAATATTGAGACAATTTGGTATTTGATGAGCACTGTGGAAAATAAAGTATAAGAACACAAAATGAGTACTTACTTGAACTTTTAGAGGCTCCACGTGATTCAGATATATGTGAGCATCTCCTAAGGTGTGTATGAATTCTCCAGGCTGAAAAGGAAGAATACACGATAGCTACAGTGACTGAACAAATACTACTGATCTCAGTCAGTAGTTGATCATCCATGATCAGTAGATAGCTCATCCATTGCAAACAGATGTAGCAGTGGTATCCAGCTTTGTTTCACATCTCATATGTATTACTTGCTCAAGCTGTTTCAAACTAGCATCTTTAGCCACTGCTAAACAATGTACATTGTGGAAGCAGAGGTGTCAGCAACAAGATAAACCCCAAAGCGCTTCAAGAGCATCCAAATACAATTTGCAGGCTTGCAAGTTCTGTGACTTAGCAATTCCTAAACAATCTAGCTTTTTATATATATTATATATATATATGTATGATATATATATGTATGATATATATATATATACACACACACACACAAGATCCTGAACAGTACATTCATTTCATGGTTTAGTGGCTTGTGGTAGCAATGCTAACGAGAGGGTGGTTGGACTAGATGATCTTGTAGATCCTTTCCAACCTTGTGATTTTACAATTTCAGTTTGCCCTGAATATGACACTGGAGTCTTTTAATCCCTCACTCTTCAGACAGTCTCAAATAAAATGATTAAACAGCCTACCTTCAGCCCTGTGACATGGGCTATCATGTATGTGAGCAGTGAATAGCTGGCAATATTGAAAGGCACTCCTAGTCCCATATCTCCAGACCTCTGGTACAGTTGGCAAGACAGTTCGCCATTTAGAACATAGAACTGGCAAAGAGCATGGCAAGGTGGCAAGGCCATCAGAGAAATATCTAAGAATTACAATACAGGAAGAAGGGAGGGGGGAAGAAATAAAACCACATTAGTGTCAGAAACTTAGAAAATGCAAAAACTGAACAAACACAGCGAGATACAGGAGGTAGTGCAGCTTGATACGGCCATCATTCTTTTGCTGCTTCTCTTTAGACAAGAGAGCACCTGCTGCCTAAGCAATTAAGACTGGGTCATGACCAGCTGTCTCCTGGGCTTTACGATCAGAAAAGTCATAAACGGATATTCTATAGAACAGATTTGTGCCATAATGCTGCACAGCAGTTTAGCCTTACTCACCTAGGGGAGCCAATCTATTTCCCTAAAGGAAGACTTTGAGAGCGAAATTAAGCATGCATCCTAAAGCAACTTACAGCTGCTCTACCTTACTCATTTCTCACTGCAATGTAACTTTATTGCTTGTTGAGATTTAAAACTGACTAATCATTGATAAATAAATTCAGAAAATAAAATATGAGTGTTTACACTTAAAGTGAAGACAGTAAACCTACAGCTAGTTTAAGTAAAACTTGAACTCACTCCTGGTATGTGAGAACATTTAGCCTTAAAAATAGCAGCCGGAGCATGTGGAATCCCCTTTCAGAGACACTAAAGGAGAATGTTGGGGGATTATTATTTTTTTTTGGTGTATGGATCTACTGCTGCTAAAGTAAAACAACCACTAGCCCTAGCTCTTATTTAGAAATAATCCTTCAAAGTGAACAGGCTAACGTATGCCCAAGAAGAATGACTGCACTAAAAATAACACTTCTGTTCTCAAATTCTATGTTTTTTTTCTAAGTTTACTATTTAATATATGGCTAAAAAAGAAAACCCAACAACAACAACAACATTGCTTTGGTATATTTATTTTTGTTGTTTTTTAACCTTGTTAACATAACTTCTGTCTCTGAACAGAGACTGTATGTCAAAAGGCACTGGTAGCCATGTAGATCCCTCACTTTAACCTGGAGATAAAAACTTGGAAGTAATAGTTGAAAAGTTTCGAGGTTTGAGCACAAGAATTAAGCAGAAAGAGAACTGACAACCCCTGACCAATTGTACTCAGTGACCAACATTTCTGCTAATTTTATAAAGAATAAGGAAATGCAGTAACATGGAACCGATGCTGACACAGTACTTAGAATACAGTCTATATATTTTATAACGTTCCCTTAAAGTGCACGGTTCAGTACCTTTGGGATTCCAAGCACACATGATGATTCTTCTGTCATCTGGATTGGTTTTGATCATCTCAATCACTTTTTGTAACTGATCAACTCCTTGGTTGGAATAATCTGAAGAAAGATACCAAATATGATCTAAGTCAGATTCAAATCATTATCTATTTTTAAAGCCCAGCCCACATCCCACTGGAAAGCAAATGACAGCTTCTGAAGATCTTACTGAAACTTTGAAGGCAACTAAATTTATCTGTTGGCACTCACCAAGCGTAGGTTATGCTTGGTCTTTCTTTGGCTGCTCTAAGGTTTGTGAAGTTCTCATTTCTGTACTACAATATGTCCAACTATTTCTTTTGAGTGCTTCCACTACCTTTAGCATCCACTGAAATGGGACGATTCCTATCTAAAAAGTTTTCTTCCAAGCATCAAAAACTAGAAGTCTGCACTTACACTACATCCCAGGAAACAAAGGTTGTGATACAAATATATTAATTGTACAAAACGTGTTATGACGATGAATGATGACATTCATGATACCTAAAAAGGACAGAGCTGTATTGGAATGAGCAACAGAAATGAAAATCTCACATTCATGCTTTTTAAAGTAATTCTCCCATCCTGTTTCATGTGCCTTTGTCTGCAGCTTAAATTTATCTGCTATAGTACTCCTACTCAAAAAAAAAAAATTCAAAAATCACATCCAGACCAGTAACACAGAATGCCATGCATTCTTTGAATGCTTAAAAGAAGAAAGCTTTTAACAAGTGAATACATACATCTATCTAGCACTCACCAAGGTCATTTATGAAAACTAAATTTCCGAAACACTCGGAGCCAGAAGGCACAGGATATTACAATTCACCCAGTGACCCTTGCTGGCTGATTTTAGGCTCCATGTCAATTATAGAGAATCTCACTGGAATTAACAGCAGAATGGATACCACCATAAGAAGAGTCATTAGTTGTTATTCATTATTCTGACTCATGCCAGTGAATTAGCGTGGCTGGTAACTAATTTTTTCTAATAATTCTTCTTGCAACCCAACACCAAATTACAGTTGCAGAGAGAGACCCAAGCTGGTTTGCAAACAACATGGTAATACACCAACAGCACTGTGCCAGAAACTTTTTCAAGATCCTGAAGCTAATTATTCATGCATTAGTAGCGCAACATAATGAAATCCATTAGCAATGGAAATTTATCTCATTTATTTTTCTGTAGTACACGAGTAACTCAGATCTTTTAAGTTAGGAAAGCTAAAACGTTTTACTAAGTTTTTACATTTGTTAGTTCACTGTTTGCACCACTTACGGTAGGGTAAAACTGTACTCTGCCAGTAGTCAATATGCCAATAGTAAATACAGTATCTGTAACTAATGTCGACTTTGAGAACATACTGACAAAAAAATACAAGAGGAAAAAATAAATTGCATTCTACCAGATGTACATATATATATATATATATATATTTTTTTTTTTTTTTACTTTTCTTTTAATGGCAGTCCTAGGTTTTGTTTTTGACATCCTCTCCTTCAACGGTTTAGAAAGAACCACCCAAACACTTCAAAGTAAGTTTAATGAATTAATTCCACTGAAAATAATAGAAACTGCATCATGTTGTAGTTCATTACAGCTGTTCTATCTATAGTATCATCCTGCTTTGTTCTAACTGTAAAACGGAAAAACCCCACAACTTCACCACATTGTGGCTTTCCAATACTTGAAGGGAGCATATAAACAGGAGGGGGAATGGCTGTTTACGAGGATGGATAGTGAAAGGAGAAGGAGGAATGGTTTTAAACTGAGACAGGGAAGGTTTAGGTTGGATATTAGGAGGAAGTTTTGAACACAGAGGGTGGTGACGCACTGGAACAGGTTGCCCAAGGAGGCTGTGGTGCCCCATCCCTGGAGGCACTCAAGGCCAGGCTGGATGTGGCTCTGGGCAGCCTGGTCTGCTGGTTGGTGACCCTGCACATAGCAGGGGGTTGAAACTGGGTGATCATCGTGGTCCTTTTCAACCCAGGCCATTCTGTGATTCTACGATTTCTTTTCCACAATGTCCCATGAACATACAGAACAAACACCACTTCCTGCCAGCACAAGTGCATCATGGAATTAACATTACTTCATTGTGGAATTAGCATCTTTTGTTGGCACTCAGAGAGTGCAGTCTTTGTTCCACTGCTGTCACTGAGCTAGCTTATGGTTCTGGACTGCAGTACAGAAATGCATCTCTCCACGTACCGGTGACCATACCATCTCTACATTAAAGCAAAAATAACGTATACATTATGATTCCTCTGTTCTATAAATACTAAACTATCACATACAAAGCTAAATTTTTCACAATAATTAGATTCAGCTAATTTAAAAGTATAAAGCAAAATTCACTCCCAGATTATTCATTCTTGTTTTCATTCCACAGCGTGAACAGTCCTTTTAACAGTACAACCCACCCACAGACTTCTGGAAGTGAGGTTCCAGTCATCCCACTAAGTAATCAAGGCTGCATTTTTATGTGATTACCTGCGTGCATGTCTTTGTATTCTGCTCCAAAGTGCCTCCACTGGAAACCATAAACTGGTCCCAAGTCCCCCTCTTCTCTGGTGCAAAACCCCTGCTTATCCAGGAACTCACGTGATCCATTGGCATCCCAAATCTTCACACCTTTTGCAGAGAGCTCTTTGGCATTTGTAGAACCCTACAAAATACAGACAGTATGAAGTTACCTTCTAATCCCAGAACACGATTAGATGCAGAAGCATTAAGCTTTGCTACTCAGCAGTATTTCTCCTTTTTTAACATAAAGGATGGACAATCTGATTAATGTACTAGTTGCTGCCCTCGCACTTGGGCAGAACAAAACTTATAAATACCTTACCAGACTTCAGCCTGAGGTGCCAAGCTGTTGTTTAACTCACAAAAAGTACAGTCTCAAGGTCACCTGCTGTATACAATTTCACAAACACATCTACAGAGAACAAGATTTTACTCTCATAAAATCAAAGTATGGCCTAGACAGTGTCTTTCCCAAGCCACTTCTAATGAAGTTAAAGTCCCTTTTGTTAACATGACAAAAATGAAAAACATGGCAAAATGAACTAGAAAAATTTCACTGAATTCTGCAGTGAGTGCCAAACAGCACACTCAAAAATCCAATGTAACAACTGTGCGCAGTCTTTTATCTTTGAAAAAAAGATACTTTAAAAAATATCTGTGTATGTGAGTCCTGCTGTCTAGCAAGCCCTGGTCTAGGTTTTCCCACATCAGTACATTGCTACTATTTTAAGGAATAGCTAACATTTCAAGGAAGACTTGTACTGCAACATATTATCTACAGAATTTTAGTATTCTTAACTGCAGCAATTAGCCCTACTGGATGTCATTTTTTACTACTTAATAGACTAGTGTTTACTTCAGTCTTACTGCACCTGTGTTTCCTCACTGCTTGCTTCTGTTCAAATCAATACAAGCTACCTACCTATTGAAAAGCAAATTATTAGATTGTTTGCAAATTACAATATTATTTCTTATGTAAACACTAATAAAAGACTCCATTAGGCTTTTTAACTGCAGCAAAACTCTCTTTTTAACTGCAGCAAAAGCTCTCCCTGTACCAGACTGTTTCCCTTAAAAAGAAAGAGAAGTAAAAAATGTTCTGACTTGTAGCAGTGCAATAGTATCCACTGAAATACATGGAATGTTTTGAAAACAACAGTCTTGTACACATGGGCTGCTCTGCTGTACGAACAGAAGCACTTGCACTTACACCAAATTCCTTAACCCATTTCACACCAGTACATCAGATTGATGCCATTCTCAGGCCTACTACTGATAGAGCCATCCAGATACAGCACCTTGATAAACCACAGCAGCTCCTCCAGCACTCCTTTCCAGAACACTCTCTTTGTTGTCAGCAGTGGGAACTGATCTGAAAAAGTTACAAGGTGTCAGAGATGATCAGATTTGTTGGGATGAAAACAAATAATCCTAGGGGTTAGAAGGGACATCTGGAGATCACCTATTCCAACCCCCAGTTAAAGGTTCCCTACGGTAGATTACACAGGAAAGCACCCAGGTCGGTTTGAAATCTCCAGAGAAGGAGACTCTGCAGCCCCTCTGGGCAGCCTGTTCCAGTGCTGTCAACCTCAGACTAATGCATGTTTTTCTCTGATGGAACTTCATGTGTTCCAGCTTGTGCCCACTGCCCCTTGTTTTGTTACCAGGCACTGCTTATAAGAGCCTGATCCCATCTGCCCAAATAACTGACATTTTTCAGCACACGGAAGGCAATGCCCCTGTCTGACACAGAGGTTTGCTGTTGGGAAGGGACGTGCCATTCTCTTACTGGGACCAAGGCTGACAGGGGCACTGCAGTGCTAGATGGAGGTGAGGACCTACACGCGGGCAGCACACAAGGCTGCAGAGGTATTCGCAACGGGAAGCAGAGCCTTAAGGTAATATTATAAGGATCTATCGCACTGACGGCTCTTCCTGCACCGAGGTCCCCTGCTTACTTTATCAGTGATGAGAGCAGCGGGGCCGGGCTCCAGACCCACAACCACCGCCTGCTTCTTCCCGCAATGCAGAAAACATCGCGGGGGACGCCGAGCCGGCCCCGCTCCGTGCAGCCCTGCAGCGGGGCGGCAGAAGATGGCGGCCGAGCCTCGGGGCGAGAAGTCGGCCCTCGGAGAGAACGGGGGCGAGCACGGGAGGGACTGAGGGGGCTGCGGGCAGCTCCCGGGGCAGCCTGCAGCCGGAGAGACCGCAGGTCCCGGAGGTGCCGACCTCTCAGACTGTACCGCGCCTGCATGCCGAAGACGGAGATGGTGCCGGTGCCCGTGCGGTCCTCCTTTCGGTGGCCGTGCTGCAGGATGTGCCGGAGCTGCTGCAGGTACTGCGGCTCGCCGCCCTCCAGGCCGCTCGACGGCTCCTCCGCGGCCGGCATGGCGGGTGGGAGGCGACTCGAGCGGTCCGCACGGCCCGGCGCGCTCCTACCGTCCGCGCTCCTGCCGTCCGCCCGTCCCCGCCGAGCCCGCCAAAACCCTTCCTTCCCGCGCAGAGGCACGCAGGGGCGGGCTGCCGCCTCCCTCTCCTCTCCGCCCCCTCCGGGAGGCGCCGTACACGCCGCCTTCTGCTCAGGGCGGGACCGCGGCCGCCCGTTGCCTGCTCCTCATCGCGGTGGGCGAGGTGTGAGGGTTGCAAGGGCGGTGGGACGGTATAGCAGCGGCAACTATTGTATTAACATTTATAAAGGTGCGTGCTAACATCGTGCATCTCATACGTTTAGCTAAATGCTTCCTTGGCACACAGAGGATTCTCAGAGCCTACACTCAGAGCTTGTAGCAGCCCGTCTTCATAAAAATACCTGCCTGAAGTGAACGCTAGTTGGGCTAAGGGCAGTGCAAGCAAAACTGGAAGAAAACACATCCGGTTCTCCTGCTAGGCTGAAATTTTCAGACAGCAAATGCAGCTGTGGGCAGGGGGGTTCTGAGATAAGTATGGGAGAATCTAGTTTCCACTTGGCTGCCTGACCAGTCAAGAGATTCTGAATGTTGCTTCATCAGTCACAGAATCACAGGGGTTGGAAGGGATCATCCAGCCCAAGCCTCTGCTAAAGCAGGTTCCCCACAGTAGGTTGCACAGGAAAGCATCCAGGGGGGCCTTGAGTATCTCCAGACAAGGAGACTCCACAGCCCCTCTGGGCAGTCTGTTTCAGTGCTTCACCCACAAAGTACAGAGGTTCTTCTTCATGTTTTTATGGAACTTCCTGTGTTCTAGTCTGTGCCCATTGCCCCTTGTCCCGTCACTGCACATCACAGACAAGATCCTGGCCCCATTCACTTGACTCCCCCCATAAGATATTTATAAACCGTGATGAGGTTCCTCTCTGTCTTCTCTTCTCCAGGTTAGGCATCCCCAGGTCTCTCAGCCTTTCCTCATAAGGCCCCTCATCATCTTTGTAGCCTTCCCCTGGGCCCTCTTTAGAAGCTTCCTGTCTTTCTTGAACTGAGGATCCCAGGCCCCCACTCAAGTTGGCCTACAGTGTCACTCCTCTTGGGCTGCAGATCTTTTATGCTGTACCTTCTCTCTAAGGGCAACACTCAGTGCTGGCTGTAGTTGAGTTTCACCTTGCCAGTATCCACTCCTCTCGCCTGTTTTTAGGCATAGTTTTGTGTTCTGAATTTTGCTTTCTGCACAGCTCCTGATACAGTGTCATCTGAAGATTTTTGAGGTATATTCTCTCTGTTGGCCAAAACAGACCAGCTCTTCTCAGAATATTTCTTCGTAATAGGAGATCTTAGTAGTTAAGTGGTTGAGGTACACATCTCTCAGATAGAGCCCGACTTTCTAACAACAGGTGTGATTCCAGGAGTTACAGCTGCTTAATCTCTCAAGATTAGTGTTCCGTAATATAAAAGAAGTTGAAGGAACAGGAACTGTATGCTAGAAAATGTTATTTTTTCCATATATTTGTCCTGTAGGCAGGAAAACGTATCATTTCCACTACTTCAAACAATTAAATCGCCATTTCCCTTTTGTCTCCTGTGTGGCTTTATACATTTTGAAATGCATGCATTTTATTTTGCAAAGATACAGTTGGAAATGGTGAATGTAAATGTGTGCAAAAATGTTCAATCACAGCCAATAAAACCAAAACACCTAGAGCTTTGCTTTTGAGAATTGTATCTGTTCTTAGTGAATATAATTTGCAAATACCATGCAAGCTAAAGACAACAATGTAGGAAAAGACAAACATCTTTTCTGATAAAGGGTTCCCTGTTAATTATGGCTCCAAAGGCAAACTGCAAGTAAAAAGTGCTAAAGGCAGAAGACTTATTCATTTATGCATATTCAGAAAAGTCATTTAATGTGTGTTACAAACATCAAAAGCAACTGGAAGAAGAAATGGGGCATTTTCATTGGAAAATAATATGCTATATGCATATGGTAATCTGTTTGTTTCAGGCTTAGCTGAATACGCAGTATCTTTAGGGAACAATTTTGAAAAGGCTTAAAAATTTGCCTGAATTTAAGTATGCAAATAGGAGTTATTTGCATGTTTACAGCTAATTATTTCCTTAAATCTTTGCATAACCGGAGCCATACATGATTCCTCAAAGATCACCTAATACATAACATAAACAACATTTTATTTAAATAAATGTCTCTCAAAGTGGGCTTGAATTTGTATTTCAATTAAAAGATTGCTACAGTCATCGGTTGCTAGCTCATATGTCACGGTATTTATTAAGCAAAGTTTTATTTATATGCAACTATTTTAACTGTAGTTATTTAACAAATAGCTGAACATTGAGTTTAGGAGTATTTCACCTAAGGAGAGTTCAGGGATTGAGATTTCCCACATCTTCGTTCCTAGGAGAAAAGAAAATAAATGATCATTTTTTTTAATTATTTGAAGGAAAGATTTGAAAAAATCTGCATATGGGGAATGTACAAATATCCTGCTGTGGAAACGTATATGACACATAAGAAAGACTGAAATGATTTTCTCTCTCTTTTTCCCTTCCTGTAGATCTTCCTCTTTTCTTGCGGAGTTCCTATTCTTTCCTTTTGTCATGCTTCCACATAGCCCGAATCTGCTGCACAAACAGAACAGAAAATGGTACTGCGATTTGGAGATAAGTGCTACCACACTTTCTCAGGCATGAGATGGCTACACGAGTTGTGTTGCACTAGAGATTGAGGCTAAAAATCATAATCACACTAAGGAAATTTATATTGTCATCATTAGACCAGTAAGTTTAGCCTTACGTTATCTGAAAGAGTATATGCTATCAATAACCAAGTATAAGTTAGAAAGAATTTTGAAGGAAAACAGTATATAAATGATGCTGAGCATTTCACTTTATACGCTTCTAACTATTGGAAAATATACGTTTTGAGTATAATACTCATATAATTTCACCAGCGTAAACCTAAATCAGAGTTCATGGTGAGGCTTATCATATTCTGTCTAAATTCTGTAGGCCACCTCAGCCTCTCTGATGGAAGAGTTTTATCTCATCTGTTGAAAAATTGTGAATTTCTCATCAAAAGAATGACAAAAAATGACAAGAATGTCCTCTAGAAGACCTGTTTGTGAGCATTGGAGTCCACCAGAGCTGCACATCTTGGAGACTTCCCTGGGACTTTGTGGCAAGCCCCATGGCAGTGTGATACCAGTAGCAACATGATGCCACTTAAGAACTCTGCAACCTTTCCTGGAGTTTCTCCATGAGATTAGAGAATACAAAGTTTGTTCATTCTTGCAGCCTGTTTCTTCCCTCCCCAATCTCTTAAGCATGGAGAGGGATCTCCATGAGCGCTTCCTACAAAAATATTTAGAAGGCCATGGGAAAGATCTTTCTGTGAACACTCCTGCAAGTCAAATTGCAGATTCTGTTAGCAGCGTTAACACTGTTACACTGAGTAGAGCACTGATAACGTGAAAATTTTATGGCAAAACAGCTCTTTCAAATTATGATGTTGATTCAACATTGCAGCCCATTCTTTGTCAAAAATAATATGGAACATGCTATTAAACGCAACCTAAAATTAAAAGAGAAAAAAAGATGAGCAGTGGTAATTCCATTTTATACTTGATTAACGAATGCAAAAACATGCTATCTGATGCCAAAGCTCCGGATTGTGGTTGTGAGGCAATTCTCTTCTGATGGAATATGTCATTAAATTACCTCATCCCAGATGTTACTTAAAGATTGAGGGTTTTCAGAGTTAAATAAGTGAAGTCTTTTAATATCATAATGTCTGTGTTTTGCAGGCTAGAACACTGAGCATTTATTTTTGTTTTCTGTAACACTTGTGTTTGTCTTTCAATCAAAGTGTTGTTTCCAAAGAGACAGTCTTGAATATAGCATGACAGAATCCTGTTCCAACTAATGTTTATTGCAATGTAAACGTCTCTTATGAAGAGCTGCATTCTCTGTGAAGCGAGAGAGAAAATGAACTTACCACTTAAAAATTCTGCTTATATAGTTGCAGTGCTTTTCCAGCTATGTATTCAATGAATTCTGCACTCTTTGGGTCTAAGTGGGGAGGAACTTTAATGGTGAAAGTAGGTGAAGTCAAAATATTCACATCTACCACGGTTTCATTTGTACCAGAAACATCTCCAGGTACCACCTTGAAGAGAGCAAATCAGTACATTAGCACTACAAATAGCTGTGTGCTTTCAGTTTTGTTTATGGTTACTTTCATATTTAGTAAGGGAAAATTAAATAGAAAAGTATTTTGATCTTGTCTACCTTCTTTAAATTACTTTCTTATGAAAAGACAGTGGATGCCTCGAATTTATGCCAAAGACTATTGTAAGTGGTGGGAAGATGTGATATGGCACTGCAAGACCAGTTTAAGAATTGCAAGTTAATACTTAAACCATAAACTACATTTATAAAAAGCTTCTGATCATGTACTGAAAACCTGTGTGTGAATTGTTCTCACTGATTTCAAGAGGTTTGCTTGACTGAAGTTATGCATTCCTATGTGTTTTTCTAAACCAGACTTAGTTCTGTAGCTTTATTTTCCTGAGCAGATAGCTTAGACTTGGTTGGGAAAGTGTGCTTAAATATTGCCTGTTCCCTTGTTCCTGATCTTGTGTTTTGTTTTGTTTTATTTTGTGGATTTTCATAAAGGTCTTGTAGTAATAGTAGTACACTGGATTTCTGAGTTGAAAGGGAGAACAGAATTTGTCCCCGGCCCAGTAAAATCAATTTAATTTACTTTGGATGTCTTCATGTGGGTGAGATGTAGATAATCATGATGTACTTCAAGTCATATTGACAGCTGCTACTTATGATATGCAGCTTCCACTGCAATAACCTGCATAGCATTTGCTTTCTTTGAGCTTTGTGATATATAGGTACAGACACAGACACGTAGCTATATATTCAGCGATCCAGGAAGGATGCATTGCTGGCTAGTACAGTGACATTTATCCAGGAAGGTAATTGCAGGCCTGTCAAAGCTGCTAGTGTCAATTTACTCTTCTCAGCAATTATTTGGGTTAGCCTGTCAGCCATCCACCTGACTAAAAGGATTTAGAGGAAAATAGTTTCTAATCTCTGGAGATTCAGCTTACTGAAGGATTATTAAGCTCATGGAGGGATTATTAATACATTATTAATGTATATTCAAGATGAGATGATTAGGGACTGTATCTTGTAAAACCAAAACTTACATGTATATGAACATCCACACTCCTCAAGAACACACCTATGAGCAAGGCTTAGATGGAAGACAGTACTGTGCAATAGGTCCCCTTAGTAGGTAACCCTTACCTTGACTATATTGAAAATATTTTCTGGTCCGATGGTCATATTGGATAACTCAGACACCCACCCAAATCTTTCTTTCATTTTGTTCAGCAAGTAGGAAGTGTCTTCTGTATGACGCTGAACCATCTGGAGAATCTGCTCGTACTGCTCACCAGAGAGATTAACCAGCTTAAAGGCTTCATCAAACTTCACGTGCAGTTCAGGAACATTTGGGCAATCTGTTTAAAAACACCAGCCAATGTGAAGCTTATAAGAAAACAAGATGTCTTGTACTTGCTTTTCTCTATATGAAGTACAGAAATATAGGAAAACTACAAAAAAAAATCTAGCAATGGGGCATATTTCTGAGTTCATGTTTAAGCTATGCTAAACAAAACAAACAAATTCTTGCTGACCTATTTTGGTAGGTTTTGTTTAGGCTTACAATGACTGAATGGATTAATTATCCTATTTGCTGTATTACAACTTGCTAAGTTCTTTAAGGTTGGTACCATGCTGCTTGGCAATAGATCTTCAAGCATGCTGAAGAATCATAGAATAGCTTGGGTTGGAAGGGATCCCAAAGTTCATCGGTTCCAAACCCCTGCCACAGGCAGGGATACCTCCCACTAAATTGGGCACTAGATCGGGTTGCTCATGGCCCCACACAACCTGGCCTTAAACACCTCCAGGGATGGGATGCCCACAACCTCTCTGGGCAGTCCATTTCTGCATCTCACCACCCTCTCAGTGAAAATTTTCCTCCTGAAATCTGATGTCAATTTACCCTCTTTTATTTTAAAACCATTCCCCTTTGTCCCACACTGTTATGTGTAATACACAACTGTGGACAAAAGGATATTTTAGTGAGTTGGAAATGGTCCAACACTCTTTTCAAAATGTCACTGGATGATTAACATCTGCCACACTGGAGATATTCTGATATCTCAGTTTAAGCGTTTTCTGTGACTTTTAAGATATAAATAACTCTGGATAAGCCGTAATGTTATGCTACAGCAGGAGTCCTGAGAGTATTTCTAGGTATTGCAGTCTGAATTTTTTCCAGCTGCCCATGTTGTCTGCAGGAGAAACCAGCATCAGGAATGTTGACTTCTCCTCGCTTTCTGCTCGGTGCTTCTGCACCAGGCAGGATCAATTGCTGCCTCACCTCTTGCTCTGCTGGAGAATGGCAACTCTAGCAATGTCCATAGGTATTTTGTTATAGAGTATACAACTTTGGATCTCCATCAGTATGCTAACAACTGAGTTATACTGACACTGTGTGGAGACAGCAGGGAAAGGTAATTGAAATCTTCTGGACGTTTTGAATTTATAATCACAGCCAAAATTCTGTGACTGAATGTTAATTCCATAAATACGGAAAGAGCACAGTAGAAGGTGACAGCCTGAAGGTGTACAAACCAGTGGCCAACACGCTGCAGAAATACATCAAGAAATATCTATTTACCATGCAAAAGATTGTCTTGACATTTCTGACATCTCTCATGAAACTGTGTGCATCCAGAGGAATTCTCTCGAAGCTCTTTGCACAGAGTCCTTTGGCGTCCTGACACAATTTTCGAGAACATGCCACCCCTGTCAGAACCTAGGATGAAATTACAGTACTTTTAGACTGTCATTAAGTTGAACATCCTGACAAATACATGTTTGTTACTTAATATGTGTGCCAAGCAAAATATAGGAGTTAAACTTCCAAAAGCAGAGGTTGGGAGAAGATGCAAACCACGTTTTCTTCCAAAGAATTCATGTCACTGTATAATTCCCTTATAAATGGTAGTGCATTCCCCATTGACAGCCAATTATTTTTTATTTCTATTTTAATTAATAAGATAGGAAAGATAAAACTTATTTGCATTCTAGATGTTGACTGAGGGTTGTCTCCCCCGTTGAGAATTGTCACCTGATACTAAAGTTATGCCCAGAATTTTCCTGGTTACTGGAAAATCACTTGGCTGGTTTGTATGTGACTGGTACATGACATTGCTGCAGGAGCTTTAGGCAAGACTTGCGGCTGTCAGGCAAGGGCAGGGATACGCTGTGACATCTCATAGAATTTTTAGAGCTGGAGACATGTCAGTATGATATGATATACAAGTCTTCCTGACAAATGCTAATATCAGACCTATCAGTCAATCTTTTGAAGACCTGCATCTGCTATGAATTCAGGAACTCCTGAGAAACTCCTGCAGACACTTAGAGTAATGCCATGGAAATCAGACTGTGTAGGACACCCAAGTCACACTGCAGTATTTCTATGAGTTTTACAGATGATTTTTACCTTTTAATTTAACCAATGAATTTATGCTTAACCCATACCTATTTAACCAAGTAAGCCCCCGGAGCTCCCATACAGCATGTAAAATTAATGCACCACAGACTGAACCACTAGCACTGGGTTAGCTGTCCTGAGAGGTTTGATGTCATTGACAGCGCAGCTGATTTTTATTTCCAACACTTGCCTTTGGCTTGTTCTGGCAAATCTCTTCTATTATCTCTGTATTCATCGAATACCTCAGTAATCACCTCACTGACACCTTCAAACACTGTCTTGCTGAAATCAAAGACTGTCTGCAGGAAGGCAGGTATACCCCAGTCTTTCTGTAAGCCGTCATTTCTGGTAGTGGCCTCGGGTAAAGCAGGCATGCTGGGGGATTCACTCAAATCCAGATCAGACATGAAATATGTTTGAAAGGATTGGTCAAATTCTTTTTGCATCTGCTTGAAAAACATGAAACTTCTGTCAAACACTGAGCCCATGTCTGATAACAGTTGGCTAAATAGATCTTCCATTTTTACTAGTTGAGTATCCTCTTTCTCAGGCTTTTCATTAGTCTGGATGTCTTTTCCTTGATCTTCATGAAAAGGGAAAATAAGTGGAGGTATTTTCCTCAAAAAATCTTCAACCTGCATATAAGAAAGAGATCAGCTGCTTGACAGTTTATAGAATCACAGAGTCATGGAATCACAGAATCAAAGAATCATAGAATCATAGCATCATAGAATGGCTTGGATTGGAAGGGACCTCAAGGATCATGAATCTCCAATCCCCCTACGGCAGGCAGGGCCTCTAACCTCCATATCTAATACTAGAGCAGACTGCCCAGTGCCCCATCCAACCTGCACTTGAACACCTCCAGGGACATGGCATCCACAGCCTCTCCAGGCTCCTCACCACTCTCTTGGTAAAGAACTTCCTCCTGACATCCAACCTAGATCTTCCCTCCCTCAATTTAAAACCATTTCCCCTTATCCTGCTGTTATCTACCCTTGTAAAGAGTTGATTCCCCTCCTGTTTATAGGCTCCCTTTAGGTACTGAAATGCTGCAGTGAGGTCACCCCTCAGCCTTCTCTTCTCCAGGCTGAACAAGCCCGGCTCCCTCAGCCTTATCAGTTTTTCTTCTCTCAGAGAAGTAGCTCTAAACTTTTTTTTCAAGTACCTCTAGAAACAAGGGACTCTTTCAATAACCAGAATCACAGCATATTCTCCAAAGAAATGTAAGATGCTAGTGAAAGTTCATTTAGTCTAAATCATTAGATACAAATCTGATCTGGAGAAAAATTGGTTCAGTCTGTTGAGGCTCAAAGTTAGTACTGGCTTCTGGGTTTTATCCAACAAACAGTTTGGACTTTATCTTGGAAACTTTTCTGTGGTAGTTTTGTGTCATGTAGAGAACAGAGGGCAATTGTTCTCACCGTGACCTATAAACGCCCTTGTGTCTCACCAATGGCCAAGTGCTCAAATTCCTCTGCAAACCGAAACCCATTAAAAGCAATAAAACAGTGTCTCTGAGTCCATGATTTGATGATGGAAGAGACTGAACAACAGTTCAGCTCTGGGAAGTTCCTATTCCCTACACCTCAGCTGCTCATCCCTGCTTCATGCTGTGACGCAGTGCCTTTGACTGAGCAGGTGCAGTGCTGTGTGGAGCCACGCTTTATGGCATTAGAAAGTTGGTAAGGGTTAAGAAACACCGTGCCAAATACATGTGTACATGTATACCTGTACACTGAGCTCACAGAGGAAGTTATCAATAGTGTCAAAGACAGTAACAGTTCATAACATAAATAATTCATGCATTATTTTTTGCAAACAGCTATTGAGCATTGCAGTGCAACTCCTACTGTGAGATACATCACTGTATATCTGGTGAGACTCCACAGGAGGGGAATGATCAGTGTCCATGGTGTGACAACAGGATGCCCCAGAACTTGTTTTAGCTCTGTGTTTAATGAATGTAATTTACTATAGTCTGTGCCTGGTTACTTCGCATTTCCAGACCTTCCAAATTAAATCAGTTTTAGTAAGTTGATGTCACTGACAGACTGGCCACTGCAAACATAAGCTGTGCTCTCTCTAAAACTGTTGGGTAAATTCAAGAACACTTGCCAGATACAAAATTTCTTCTTACCTTGCTTCTAAATGTTGATAAACCCTGTCTGCAAGTCGTATAGAATCGCATGCAGGTACTTTCTAAGCAAGATTCACATTCATCCCATAGATTTTTCAAAGATACTTGGCATTGTCTTTCTGCTTCTTCTAATCTTTCCTTTACTTCATCCATAAGTCGCAAGGCTTCCTGAATAAGAAAAAAGATTCTGCTGATTGCAGTTTTCAGGTTAATATTGTGAATGTTAATTCCAGAGCTGATTGCTCATTTTTGTTATTTAATCCTTCACTACTGGGGTAGGATGTTTTCTCAGCTGCAATCACATATGGAGGAACTGAAAATTGAAAAGCTTTTCCTTATGGAGTCTTCCTGATGTTGTTCTCTCAACAACATAGTGCAGCCTACATAACCAAACAGATCTCTGCGGCCTACCTGGATTGTTGAGGCTGTGAAAAAACCATGAGGCTTTCTGTGCAAAAAGCATTCAAGCTCTCACAAGGTCAGGAGTCAATGCAAGTCTTTTATCTCCACACTGAGTATTCATCTGTTCCCCAAACAGTCTTTTCTGTTACTCTGCTCTGTTCTGCAAGGGCCTGTGATACTTCACAAAGCGAGGTCCTTGCCATACATAAATTCCTTCTCTAATGCAGAAGTATTCAAAAGTACATAACTCCATCTTTTGGGGATTATTCTAATGGAAAGGCTGTAGGGAAGGGATTTCTTTCCTCTGCTGCAGAAGCATAAGTAACAATTGCAATAAGCATTTTAGAACAGATTGGGCAACGGAAAGACAGAAAACTTTTCAGTAAAAGTAGATTGCACATCATTAATTTCTTTCTCCCAGTGCAATATATTTTAACACTTTATGTTTCCAAACAATATTCCAAGTTGTTCCCAAGCATGGCAGAAACCTTTTAATTCATCAGTCGTGTTCCTTTCTGGCAGTATTTCATGAACAGAAAAGTCTCACAGAAAAGAAAACTTCTGTCAGAATGCCCTTGGTAGAGCTGGTAATTGTGATATTCATGGTCTGTGTTTAATTATTTCTGATCTTTCTAAATATACTTATTCAGGGTTTCATAAACTCTTACTGTGGGGATAAGTTCTGGGTAAATGAACTCATGCAGCAAGAACCAACAACAGACTGGATAATGGGAGTGTACCAGTGTACCTAAAGTTAACAAGTTACCATGTGCTTTTAGATTTGATAATATGAACAGTTCAAACTAATCTCCAAGCTGGGCCAAGATGGAATTTTCCTCTAAGTTCACTGGAACTAATAGTCAGTGCAGACTGAAAGCTTCAGTGAGAACTGGAGCCTTAGAATGCCATGTTCCTGCAAACACTCAAACTCTTTCTTAAGAAACTGCAAAAAGTAAAACAATGTTCACTTTTTCAGAAATGTGAATCAAGGCTAGAAAATGGTGTCTGTTGGCCCAGCTCCTGCTTCAGGGACAAAGGCAGTGAGAACTTTTATAAAGCTGCTGTAAGATTTTTCTTCTGCTAGGGAGGGAAAGCAGAAGCTGGGATTTCCCATTACTACTGGCTTTGCTATGTGATTGCTCCTCAGAGTGTACATACAGTGTGGTTTTCATTCTTCCCAGAAAAAGGGAGACTCCAAGGGAGTCTACACATACTCTATTTCTTCAAGAAGGTGCACTAAAATCTATGTACAACCTGCTTCATCTTGGATTAAAAATAGGTGCAACTTTAAGAACAAGCAAGCAAACAAACAGACAAATGAAAACAGATGCACTTGTTACCTGTTTTTCTTCACTGCTCTTCTTCAAAGTTTTCATCAGATCTATGTGCTTATCTTCATTTCTTTCCATCATAATTTTCATGTGCTTAATACCAATCAAAGCTTTCTTTACCTCTTCATCTACATATTTCTCCCCAACTTCAGATAAAGCTAAAAAACCCAAATTATATAGTGAGTTAATCCAATTTTAATACTAGCACAAATGACTATTCTCTAATGACACAGTGAAACAGCTTTATGTTTCCCTACAACTCATGGGGAAGTGAATGCTGAATGCAGAGCCAAGACAATTTCTATCAGATAAGAATCTGGCGCAGAGCCGTGTCCAGTGATTAGCTGTGTGCAGCTCAGTCTATGTATTTAGCTATCCCATTTCTGATCTCTGAATCCCAGAATAGTTGAGAATGGAAGGCAACCCTGGAGATCACAAAGTTCAACTCCTTGCTGAGAGAAGAGTTGATGAGAGCAGGGTCAAGGAGAGCAGGATGCTCAAGGCCTCAGCCTGGGTTTTGGGAATCTCCTAGGATTGCTCATCAGTTTCTTGGTGACATAACCTACATAGTTATTCTTAATCTGAAATCAATCAGTGACAGTTTCACATAACAGCTTGAAAATGTGGATTACAGGAGTCTTCAACCTACTTTCCTAAAATATAATCTCTAGACTTCCTGTGAGATAATGGCCGTAGAGTTTTGGTGAAAGGCAGGTTGTTCTTTACATTGGACCTTGAGTCTCTGCCTGAGTGCAAATCCCTTGTTCTCTTTGCAAAAGTGCTATGAATATTACTGAGGCTATAAAAACAACTAAAGTGCACATTACTTGCATGCACGTGTCATTCATGTCTTCTACTTTAGCCTTCTTCCTCTCTCCTAGCATTCTATTTGTCACAGAAATATTTTTAAAATACATTGAAGCTAAGGAATATTTCATGGCTGATCCTCCTGGGATTCTGACCTACACAATAAAGTCATGTTTCAAGGTGAGTATATGCATAACAGCTGGTTTTTTTCTTTATTAAGTCATTCTATTGCAATTATTTCTAATAACTACATTTTATAGCTTAGCATAATAAAATGCAAATCACGTGGTTTAATTGTTAGGTTTGATTTATACTCTAATGATCTATGATGGAGCAAATAACCTATTAAAACGTTGCAAACAGTTTCTATAAGGGAGGCTCTGTTAATCCCTCTAGTTTCTCATTTCAGATGTTATCTCCCAGTCACACACGTGGACTCTTTGCTTCCACAAAAGTCAGCCCATACTTAAAAACAGAACCTCTTGACTCCAGTGAGCGTGGAAGGCAAAGCAAACCAGAGCAAGCCTCAGTGGAGACCTGGGCCGGAAGGCTTCCAGCACACCTCTCCATACTTACTCTTCAGGTTTTCCCGGAGATTCATTTCCTCCTGCCTGGTTGGTGCACACTGGTGACCATTCAGCCATAGCAAGTGTATTATAAATAACCAAGAGGACTTCATGTTCTTTCTGTTAAAGAAGCAAGTTGAAACAGTTAAATGTAAACATCTTTATGGTGCTCAAATGCCTAGGTGCAGTTTTTACTAAGTAATACAATCCTGTTATTTTTTTCTCTAACTGTAACTTCTCAGATCTATAACATGCTCTTAAATGATACTCCTAGTGAAAACACATGAGTAAGAAGCTGACCTCATTCATTATGTTTCTATTAATAGATTAATTCTAAACAGGTCTAAATAGATTCATTCTACTGAGTTTACACAGCGGTGTAATAGAACTAGGACACAGATAAATAAAACTGCAGGCTTATAGAGCTCACTCTTTCTCTTTCCTACCTTTCAAAACATGCTCAGTACTGTAATAAAATCCTTTTACTCTTTTTATTGTTATTTCATGTTACAAGTGTTTCTATGCTGAACACTGCTGCCTGATTTAAATAGGGAAATTTCTAGAATGTTGTTCCCATCCGTATCTCCAAATATGCGTTGTCCTTCAGGATAATACTTAACATAGCAAAGGCAGTAATAGGTGTGCTAAGAAACTGGCAATTAGATCAGTCTTAAAAATAAACACATCAGAAATTAAAAGAAACTCCTGCAAAATAAGGGGAAGAAATGCCATTTATTTTATTTCCCTCCCAGAAACAGTTTAATGAGAAAGATTTGTTTTTTAGGAACCATTCAACTACACTTTGTAGTTTTCATCTCATTGAGTGAATACAGTGTTTAAGTGCCTTTTTGCTAGCCAGTGCAGCCTTCTTGAAGATGCATATAGCAGCTGCAAATGCATATGTAAATTAAAAGCCTGCATTTATTTATAGCCTGGATTTACTTATTTAGTCACTTGCACATTGTAAACTTACATTTATAGTGAAAGATCGATCAACTTTGCAAAGGAACAAACCCCCTACAAAAGATAAGTAAAAAACCAACATATTTACCATTAATACTGAAACACCTCTTCTGCAAAATTGCTGCCCGCGTCGGGAAGGGCTGGGGCTGTGCTCTGATCTAATTGCTGGGAGTGACAGGGATTTTGCCATGTTCGACTTATCTGATGACAAGGTATTTAATCCTATTAGTGGTACATTCTGTCATTAGGCTGGGGCGTATTTGTGCGTAAGGGACTTCATGCTCAGATGTGTGAGTAAAGCCACTAGGGGGAGCGCTGGATAGAATTACGTAATGAAACGCTGTATCTTGGTAGTCTTTTCGTCTTTCCAGATCTTTCATCATCTTGCCTTTTACCTTAGGAGGCATCTGCAGCTTATGTTCTTAGTGAAAATATTACAATTAGTATGGCTAAAAGTAGCTTCCAACATCTTCAGTGTAGTTTATTTTGCTATAAGAAAAACATTGGATTATGGAAAGGCCTTTTTCATATAACTTCTGAGGGTCCTTTTCTGAAGGAAATCAAAAGAATTGGGAAACCTAGGTGCAGGCTGTCATGCAAGTAGACTCAGAAATAAGATAAGCAAATTTTGGCATTTTGTACATCATTAAACTTGCTCACGTTTCAGGGTTTTGCCCTTCAGTGATTTTCTTCAGATAATCCATGTGTGTGAAATATGTCTGGGACCTGACCTGCGCAAAGTCTTAAGTGTTTTGAAATGAAATGCTTAAGTACTAGCAGATGCTTGATATAAAATATGTACAAGTATTGTTACCAGGTTATATCCCACCTGTGATGTTCACCAATATTACCCCAGTAAAGCAGAAGAGTAGACAGGGAATGTAGATGCCTACAGCTCATGCTCTGTAACATCAGTTTTAAAATAACCCCCCTTTTTTTAAATTTACCTCATAGTTCATAGGAGTCAGTTGATGACTGATGATCAAGATCCAACATGATTAGTTCTTCTTGGTCAGGAGGTGTATCAGGAAGAATGGATGACCAATTAGCACTTAATGGAAACTGGAAGTCCTCAGCTTGCATTACAAATTCCAATTGGAGCTATAGGAATTTGTCTCACTTTCTGAAAATGACGGGGAATATATATGAATTTATGGTTCACTGAAATGCTGCTGAATTCTTGAGCAAGATTCCATAGTACACAGAATCTTTCAAGATCCCTTTTGTGACAATACACAAAGGAACTTAGGAAATTTCAACCTGAGGACAAAATTATCCATAGCTAGTATGCCTGATAAAGTTAATCTTGAACTTAAATTTAACCTTTGAAATGCACTTTGGAACTCAACACTGTTCTTTAAATGTAATTGCAAGTAGTGATCACTCTGGAAATCTTTTCCAATTCATTTCAATTTTGAACTTAATTAAGCAGAAGTCTAAAAAAATAAAAATCAGGTTACATATCAAATATCCACTCTATTTTCTTTTAATGTTTTAAATCTGGTCTGCAATGAGTTGTCACGAATATCTACAATTTTAATGTTAGCTGATGTGTTCAGCTGTTTCCTCTTAATATTTTATTTTCCTCTAAATTTTAATGGATCAATCACCCATAGTGTGCCATTTCACCACAGTATGGTACTGACATGTTTGTTTTTTCACAATCAGATGATTTTCACAAGCAGATGATTCAGTGCTCACTGCTGTGGTTGCAGATTATGAGGTAGCCTTGTAACAGCTCTCGTACAGGAGACAATCTGAAGGAGCAAATGTTAGAAAGAATGTTTCTCTCCTGCCCAACTATTATTCCAATACACTTGTATTCTTACTGAAATTAATATGTATACATTGGAAAAAATAAGAAAATAACTTGAGAATGGATTTCAGGAAAAAATGGCTTTTTGCAAGACACTAATAAATTCAAACTGAATAATTGCAGTGATTCACATAGACACTAAACTTGAACCTAACTGAACTCTAGCAATGGAAATTGTAGCTGATTTCTGGAGTTTCCTTCTGTCCTACTGGATGACCTCCAAAAATGTATAACATTTTTTACAATGTACAGTGACTTCTCCCTTTTTTGTTGATCCATTCCACCTGGCAGGATTAAGAATCAAGAAATATGTTGAAATGGAATTTCCTGTGTTGTACTTCAGCTGTAGGGTTTTGTTCCAGTTATATATTTATACAATTATTTGCTGTTTGGAAGAGTTGTTTTCTACTATGTCTGAGACAGGCCAGTCATATAACGATCAGACTGAGAATATGTGGATGCACTTACAGACTCTATGAGTCATGCAGTGCTAAATCTCTTGATACTTTTATGAAATAGTCTCCAGTTGTACAAAATCTTAGCTAGTTTTTTTTTGTAAGCACACCACTAGGTCCACTGCTTTCCATTGAAATTAAATCTTAATGGAGGCCTATTGTCTAATTAAGTGGCTAATCTAAAGCAGGCTCAAAACTTTGTTAAAAGTTGGTGTGGTTTTTGAGGCTATAGAAATTCAAATTTTTGTTTTGTTTTGTTTTTAATCCTTTCCAGTTCTTCAGGAGCTCTTAAGTGCCTTCTATTTCCCTGTGTATTTCAGAGGTGATTGGAGTCCTCCTTCAGTTTGTACTCAGTCTGCCTTTGATCTTTACCTGAGTAGCCAAAGTTAGGATAAAAGGCCTTTGGAGAGAGGCAGTACCTGAGATGCTGTCAGTCATGCTCGAGCTCTGCACTGCACTCAAAACAAACGTGAAACCAGCTGAAGGCATGAAATCAGTGTGCATAGCTTGGTGCATCATGTTAAGCCATGGGTATCCAAACTGTTGGCTTGCCTGGGCCGTACTGAGTGAAGAAGTTTTGTCTTGGGCACATGTATGTAAGTCACTTCAAAAGAAATGCCTCCCACTTATTTCCATGGAAACAACAAAAGATACAAAGAGCACAGTAACACTGAACAGGATTCTCTGCTATCAAACATTATTTTTTAACATAGTCATCACCATTAGCTATGCATTTTTGCCAGCAATGAACAAGAGACTGCATGGTGCACTTGTAAAAATCTGTACCAGCGGAGGTGATCCACAGTTGCTGTTGTCACTGCTGAAATGCACTGTCCATGCCTCACCATGCTCACATCCACTCGTTGGACTCCATGAATGTTCAGTAGGTGCTGACGAATGTCAGTGGGTGCCACTTTTTCAGCATGGAGGAATTTAATGACATGCCTTTGCTTCATATGCACTTCCATGTCAGACCCCATTCTGTCAGACTGCCCCTCTGCTACCATCTGTCACACAGCAACAACATCTAATGGAAGGCTGGCAGGAAGATTCAACCTCTACTGCCGTAACACCAACATCTGCCTCTAACACTGTGGGCAAACATCATAAAATGGGAGGCATTACTTTCCGATCAACTCTGATTAAACATACAATAAGGTTAATGTATAGAAGGTAACAAAACTTACTTTAGTTTTAGTGCTTTTTACTAAAACATATAAAAAAGAGAGAAACAAAACCACAGAACTTACGAGATACGTAACCTTGTTTTTGTGAAACTAACACATCAGTCCAGTTCAGTGGCAGTGATTGCAAGCCGCAGTGAGATCTCAAGGTGTTCATCAGAGATTTCTGATGAAATTTTACTCTTTCTGTACTTCATCGTTGATTCGCAAATGTACGTACTGCCAAAAAGTGGTTACAGGAACGAGGTCTGGCTGTGAAGTGAGGAGTATTTCTTTCTAGTAAGAAGGGGCTCATAGAAGTCTGGTAGAGAGACACGGTCACATTTTCTTTTAAGTTGTATCCGATTGCAACTCTGTACATTCGATGTGAAAATTAGCAGGTAATGTATTTATGTCAACTGAAAGTGGAGTCACAAATAAACCAAAGAACTTACTTTTTTTTTTTTTTTTTTGCAATCTTAAAACTTATTCTCAAATTTCTTTACGAAAATGTAAAGCGTGCTGCATCTGTTTTGCTGTTCACAGGGCTGTGTTTAGCCAGTGTATCAAAGCTCATAACCTTACTGGCTACAACTTGGGCTGGCACTGCACAACGCCCCGTGCCCTGGTTTCAACACAGAAGGGGCTCACAGCGCACCAAGGTTGGTGCTGAGGGCTGGGCTGCACGGCGGGAAGAGCTGCCGCCATGATGGCGT